CTACTCCTATATTTTCTAATTTTATAGCAATAGACCCAGCAGAAATTGAAGGTTCCCTTCGAATAAACTGCCCAATTTCTCGGGATGCATGTGGAGTTATTTTTTTAATGCGACCGCTACCATTTTTACGCTTAATATCTCCATTCTCCTTTAATTTTTTAAGGTTGTTATATATTGTCCTAAGTGAAATCTTTGTTCTTGAGTGTATTTCGGCGGCATTGCGTATTCCTTGCTCCCATAAATGTAAAATTAAATTGGGTTAGTTACACTTTGATGATCAATTTTCAAAAAAAATTGCCATTTTTTTTTGCACACCACTGTACATAGTAAATCACTTAGCGTTTCTATTGACGAAGCTCATATTATCGCATCATATTGATATTTTACCAATTTTATTTTATTTTTTTTGTGACTTTAGATCGCAATTGGCTGTGTCTAATTGTAAAAGAAAAGTTGCAATTCTTTTAAATTTATATCAATGCAATGTAAAATGTAATTTTATAAATTTGGGCTATTGAATGCTGAAATGTGGAACATGTGAAATTTATTTAATTTATAATTCAAATTTATTTAATTTTTTTTGCATATTTTTTATTAATTTAATTTTTTTTTTTTTTGATATTTACTACTTTTTTCTTACAATTCTTCATTGAAGAAGCATAAACGTACTTATGTAACTTGGATATCTATGTTACGAAAAAAAATTTTAAACTATAGATTAAGCAAACTTTTTTATTACTTTGTCAGTTTCAAATACATAATATAATAGTTTTGGTCTGATTTTATCTATACTTTTGACCGACCAAAGATTTAACTTTCGTTTATAAGGAAGTTTAATTTATAAAAGTACCGTAAAAAATTGAACATTGAAGAATAAATTAATCTATAAGCCGAGGAAAAAATATATATCAAAATATGATTTAACCATAATGTATTAAATTAATTTTTGGACCAAAATTATAGTGCGGCAAAATTAATGATTACCGCAGTATTTGATCACGTTATCATATGATTAGTATCACCAACAATTTTTCCCCCCATATTGTCACCGGTGTCATTTTTCACGCCCATTATATGTCACCGGACACGTGGGGTGAGATTTTACTTATAAATTGATGGTGATACTGGGGTAAATATTAGTACCACTGCAATATTCGGAAAATGTTTTCCGTTGATCTAAATTTGATCATCATAACTCCTTTTATATCCTTATTGAATAATCAATTTTACAAATTTATCCAGAAAAACATTTTTTTTTATTAAAAAAATGCATGAAAATGAAACTCAATTCGTCTCAGATAATAATTGTTCTTATTGCTATGTACCATTTTTCGAGGAATTATGGTGTAATAAATGTGATCCTTCGCGTATAATTGAAGGATGGACTAGTGGACATTCCGATATTGATAAGTTCATAAAAGAAACAATATATAAAGCAAGAAATAAAGAATATAGTCTAAGATTTCTTGAATGGGTGCCTTTAGATAGATTCATAGACATAAAAGAAATTGGTGAAGGTGCATTTTCCAAAGTGTATTCCGCAACGTGGATCGTTGGTAAATCAAAATTTGAAAAACAAGATGATGGAAGTTGGAAAAAATCAGATCCTGAACCTATGAAGGTTGCTTTAAAAAGGTTAAATGGATCATGGGATATGTCAGCTAAATATTTTAATGAGGTATTTACATTTATATTTGTATTATTAAATAATGATATTTCCATTTTACTTAAATTTTATTACAAAAACTAGCTTAAAGCACATTGGAACTTTTTTGAAAATAATATTGGTTCTTTATAATTTTATGGAATAACTAAGGATTCAGAAACCAAAGATTTTATTTTGATCGTACAATTGCATCTGATGGAAATTTGAGAAATTATCTTTCAAATAATTTTAACAACTTATTATGGGAAGATAAAATTAGAAAATTATATTATGTAATATATGACGTTTATAATTTACATAATCATAAGGACCTTCATAGTGGAAATATTTTGCAAGATAAAGATTCTTATGTTTCGGACTTTGGGTTATCAGGACCAGCAGATAAGCAAAAAATGGACGATAAAATATATGGAGTATTACCATATATCGCTCCGGAAGTCTTGGATGGTGGTTTATATACTTTAACGTCTGATATCTACAGTTTTGGTGTAATTATGGCTGAATTATTATCCGGAAAACCTCCCTTTGATGATAGAATACATGACGTATCTTTAGCCTTGGATATTTGTAATTGATATCGTCCAGAATTTGGAAAAGGAACCCCTGAATTTTACAAGAGATTAGCTTATAATTGTATGAGTGCAAATCCAGATCAAAGACCAATAGCCAAAGAATTATATGATAAAATGTATTTTGATATCAATCTATTAAATATACTGAAAATACAAAAAAAAATATGGAAATTATGGAAAAGAAATAAAGGAAGGATTTGAAGAGGCAGATAAAGCGATACCAAATATTTCAATTTCACGTAAAACGAATCCTGATGCTATATATACAAGTAGAGCATTTACATTTAAAATTTGACAAAACCTATTAATTCGTCTCTTATCACATCATATTTTGAAAAGGATGAGAATAATGAAGGTATTATACAGTATATTTAACTTATTTATTTCGATAATGAAATATTAATTTCAATGCATTTTAACAGAATTTCAAGATTCTCAATTAATTGAATTAGGAATTTCTAGCTCATTACAATTAAGAGGTAATATGACATATCGTATCTATATTTATAATTGCACTTTAATATGAACTGATATTGATTTATTTATAATGATAGACGTCAATAATTGAAATTTATTATATTATGTACCGATATGGTGATGTGAACTTGAATTAATATTGTTGAAACAGCATTACATTTAATATTAGTTTTAAATGTAATTTTAACCATTTTATGTATTAGCTTTAAGAAATTTCTCAATATTTTAAAAGTTATAAAGAAGAATTTTTTTTATTAATAAATTATATACAGTATATGTTACGTATGATGATCGAAATATGATAAGCAACCATTTTAACCATGAACTTGACTTGCGATACAATTCGATGAGAAACTTGATTTATTCAAAATTTCATAATATAAACCCTATGAAAAAAAAATTTCTGGATTTGTCCAGAATTTGCCGTAGTATCCAGATAATGTCCGGAATCCACCATGTTTCGGTATAAATTCCGGACAATATCAAGACATCACGCGGTGTCCGGAATCCACCATGTTTTGGTACACTTTCCGGACGATTTTGACATTTTCCGGGCATTTTCCACATGCAACCGGACATTTTCGATAACATTTTCTAGACAATTTTTTTTTATAAGGAAATACATAAAGCCTACCTTTAGTAAACTTCAGAAGAAAGTTTGATAAATATAGAATTTTCTCTGATATTATTTTGTTAAAACTATACGAACCTGGATTTTTACAATGGAAATAATAAAATTTGGTCGGTTTAAGTGTATTATTGGAATTCAAATGGGGATGTTGATAGAAAATGAGCAATCTTCCGAAGATTTTAAAATAAATAAATTAAAAAATTTTTATTGCTTTAGATAAACGATAGCATCACAATTCACGATTTATTGATATTAATATGATGATAGTCTAAAGAATGGATTACAGAATATGATCAATATGAAAACAACTTGTCTAATTTATAATATAATTGCCAATGCAAAAACAAACACAAACTGAAAACCAGTCCACAGATAATTCTTATATTCAAATATGCAATCTCCGCAATAAAAAATGTTGTTCAGGAAGATTTGATGACATCCTTTTAAAATTGCGATAGTTTCTTCACTAATAATTGTTACTCTAAAGACGGTTAATCTTGATCAATAATTGACAATGAATGATTATATAATTGAAATAAGCAAATTGAAGACGAAAAGATTCTTTTTTTTTAAAAAGAAAATTTTCTCTACAAATTTCAGTAAGTATGCATGAGCTGAATGTTTGTTTTATAAATAAGTTAGAATTAACGCTTTATTAGCATAATTTCGTTTTCCTGATTCCATATCTTTTTTGATTAATAAAAAAATATATAATATATACCTGTATATATATTTTTTTAAAAGTAATCAACGTAGCTTTCGTTGCTCGGATTTTAAGTCAATTTTCTTAATGTTATCATTCCTTGCAAGCAAAAAAAAAAAAATGATTAAAATATACGTGAAAAAAAAGTAAGAAAAAATAATGTTATATTATTAATTCTTTACATCATTGCAAAAAGTTAAAAAAGAATATTTAAGTACTTTATGTGTTAAGGTGCTATTAAGTTATTTCACCACATCCACAACCAAAACTACAATCTTTCATCAGATATAATATATCCTTGCTGTAATTTTCAGTACCAAAGGAGAGATGGTTCAGTACTGTCATCCGTTTCGAAGGAAGTGGTGTAAATCTTTAGCACAAAGGGAGTTTCGTTGGAAACCATAAAGGTAATTTTGTCACTTTTATATGGATATTTGACAAAAATATTTCATATAGTATCGTAGAGTCGCGAAAAAAATTGCAAAAACCATTTTACATTTCTGATTATAAACTTTAATTAATCGAGTTGAGCGTAAAATTTTGTTTAAATATAAATGGATTCAACTCACTCATTTATCAATATTTTGTTAAAGGTGGGTTCATATAATGATTTCAAATTGTTGTTTGCTTTTGAACATAAATACCCCTTTAGCGAGTATTGATAAATGATTGATTGGCTTTTTTTTTGTAACACGCAATTATTAAATGCCGATCACGATTGCATCACATCCCAACCAATCATTTTTTTTGAAAACAATTTCAAAATTTTCCCACGTACAATATATATTGCAAACTTTCAAACTAATAAACATTTTAATCTTTTCTTCAACACAAGTAAAGCACGCACGAAATTGTTATTACAAGAACTATCGACAATTAAGAAGGTGAAACACACAGTGACAATGCCGAAGCTTATCAAAAGGTAGTCTAGGACTACGCTCTCTTTCTTTATTTTTTTTTTATCATTTCCTTTTTCTTTATTTATTTTAAAAAAAAAACAAAAACAAAATAAAAAATATATATATATATAAAATAAATGGCCTTAGTTAAAGTGATACATCTGCTGATCAGTGAATTCACTCCCTGAACTTAAGGACCAAAATATAGAAAGAAGTATCCTCTCGTTTCGTACTATTGGCAAAGCAAGTAGAAAATATGGGTTCGCTTGTCCTATGTCCAATTTGCGTCGAAGTGCTTCTGCTAGTATAACTTTAGATAGTTTCTCTTTTGTTTCTTCTTCAATATGTATTTATCTTATGATATTATTATCCAATAAAAATTAACGATTCAAGTCGCTTTTCTTTTTTAATTCCTGACTTTACTATTGATTTAAAATTTTGCTTCAAATTACTTGTTCGACGAGGCCAAGGATTATTTTAATCATATGGCAAAGGAATCGAAGAAAATACAAAAAATTGAGAGTTAAGTTACTAAAATGGACATTGGGTTAATGCAAATTACCTACAGAATTCATATAAATAATGATTAGTTTGGAATCCTATTTATAATATTTTTCTTACCCTTCAACCATATAATGTAGTGTAGCAAATCACTAGATAATATTTGTCCGTATTATCATTTACAATTTTACAATTTTTAATTTACCCGCTTTGAAATCATTAAATTTACATATAGGAACATTTTTTTACATGTAATTTAATAATATTATATACCAGTTTCAAAATATGAAGAGTCTTAGATCTTTGACGAGATGTAAATGACTAAAAATCGGTTTTTATTATTTTTATAAAAAGAAGTGAATAATTCTAATTAACCTTGTCAAGTTATATATTACCATATATATTTATATTAAATAGATCAAGACTTTTAAATCCTTTACCGTCAATTGAACCGAACATTATGAGATCTTCACATCTTACAACATTAACAAAAACGTCACCAACGGGCCATCTTACATAAAAAATATAATTTAGATTATTACCACCATAATTAGAGAGGTTAAGATTAATGCCTTGTCTTTAATAAAAGAATATATTTGTTCACTACCCAAGCTTTGATAGATAATGAATAGAAAAATGCTATAAGTAATGCATTGATATTAGCGATTAACTTGTATGAGGGAGACGATCGTGAATAAGAAGATGGATAAAGTGTTTCAAGATTAAAAGTATTACTTCCTGTTAGATTCCCCGCCCCGTAAATTCTTGTTTGGTTGATTCTCCTTATTAACTAAGAAATTATTAAAAAACATTTCCTAATCTATGATGACATAAAAAAAAATGAATGATTATTAGCATGTCTAAGGTCAACACATCATGAATTATAATTTATCTTGAGTTTTTAATACCAATAATCAACAATTAAAAATAAATGAATGATCGAATGATGTTACTTTTTACATCTCAAAAAAATACATCACTAACCGGTTGACTAGTATATTAGTATCATTAAAAGATTTTCTATCATCATTTATGACATTCTGTTTCATATTAGTACCAGGATTAGGAATGGAGGATACCATAAAGTACTATTAAATGCCTTTAATAATCCCGATTCAGAATATGCTTTCCCATACCTTGAATGAACGCATCACAAAAACTATATTGAATGTGCTTTGCTGCATCGATACGTTTGCCATCAAAATCGAATTCTTTTGATTTACCAATGATTCATTTTTTTTAATTCAGAGATCACTACAGGGTTTTCATTGTCAAGATCTACTTAATGGGACGCAATAAAGATGATGAAAAGTATTTTCTTTTAGCATATCTGTTTTTTAAATAAAAAAAAAAGAATACCGGTAATTGGCAAATCTTCACCTAGGCTACAATATTCATCATTTGATTAATCTATGTAACAATAAAAGTTGAAAATATCCAATTTTATTAAATGGATAATATGTTTTAACATTCTTCGGTTTTTCATCCGGTGGATCCATGTGATTTCTATCAGGAAAAAAAAAAAGGTCCAGTCCATTATATGACAAAATTAAAAAAATAGATATAATCAAAAGTTTAGATTAAACGTATGGGCATTATGTAATGTCTTTCTCGCGAGAGCTTAACGAGCATCTTGTGGTCATCAGCTGTACCAAGGTGTGGATTAATTTCATAAAGATCTAGGAACAAATATTGGTATAGATCATCAGTCAATGGTTTACTGTTTACTTGGAAAAAAGGTTAATTAATAAGCTTACATCTAAGCCCGTATCTCGTTTCACCTTCAACTTGATTTACAATCGGAATAATCTATATCACGTCAAAACCCTAAATTTATTAAGTTTTATATGATAAACCAAAAATTGTGATTAAAAATAATGAATACCAACCTTTGATGTAATCAAGCTTGTTTATAATCCTCAAATGAGTTCAGCCACAGTAATGTCTAATTTCGTATTGTTAAAATAGAGTTGAGGATTTTCTTGACCTGGTGGTTAAGCAAATCTATCTGATAAATGGTACGAGTTCTTCATTCTACGGGAAGGAAACAAAAAATACACGTCAAAACATATTAACGTTAACATCAAATTTAATTTTAATGAATATAATTTTTAACTAAACTTCCGCCTACAGTTTTTTTGCAATATACAGCATGTTGATTTATTATCTTAGATATTATAATAAATAAATCAGATCATCCAATGAATTAGATTTGGAATACTTAAAGAAAATTAAATTCTTTGAAAAAAGAAACTATTCCAAATATCAACCTCATCCAGACTTAAATCATCACGCTTTAAAATGAATTCTAATAAAGGTGCTTTAATACTGATAAATTTATTAGAATTAAAAAGTTCTTTAGGGTTTTTACAAATTTTTTCAAGATAAAAGTTCCGTAATTTCGTGTAAGACTCTTCTTTATAAATTGTTTCAAGAATTCCTATAGGATTGGCTTGTAAACACTCTTGATGGTCTTTAATTAAATAATCTTCAATTTCGGGAACTAAATCTTGTAGTTTAAGTGCACCTGCCGCATTTAAGAGCTTTAATATTTCAGTTCCTTCTAATTTCGTCATGTCAATCTTTCCGCAATATATAAATCTGAAATTATAGAAGATGTTAATAACTTGGTCTATATTATTGTCGTAGTTGTCATACGTACTTTATTTACCTTAAGATAATTTTAAAAATATTTGGAGGAGTTGGGTATTTTTAAAATAAACTTTCCTTCCTTCTTCACAACATTTTCTTTAGTTAATTCATAAAAATATTGCGATCTATAACGTAAAATAATTGAATGCGCACATAATTCTTTAACGTTTTCGTTTTCACCGGCATAAATAATGACATCGTAACTTTTGTCATTTTCAAATAATCTTTCATAATCATTAGCAACTCTCTGCAAACATTCTTTTTACAGAAAATAAAATTTAAAAAAGAAACAAAAAAATTTATATATTAATTAGGAAACTTTTAACATTCATTCAACTTTATTTAAAACATTTGCATACATCCGTAATTACTTTAAAGTTTTCGTGTAATTAGATGATCTTTAAAGTGAATAACTTAACTGAATTGGAATCTCATTTTCAGACAACCGAAGATCTCTGAAAATCAATTTCAGTTACAACACATTTTCCGCGTCCCTTATAACGTATCCTCGACATAAAATATACTTTAGAATTATACTGCGTCAACAACTTTTATAGAAATTGAGATAATTCTTTCAACGTCTACTTTTGCAATTTCATTGCTAATCATTAAAATCACCAAATTCTAATTATTTAATTAAATTACGCATAAAAGTTAAAATAAGAAAAATCGGGGATTAAAAAGTTACATGAAAAATTAATGGAATTAAAAGGGCGTAAGAGATTATACCGCAAGGTGAAATGGGAAGGAGTTCCGAGAGTGGGTGTGAATGTCAAAGAAAAGAAATGCTGCTAAAAACAATCCAAGAGAAACCGTTGTATATAAAAAAATTTATAATTAGGACACCTGGAGCTCTAGATGCCTGGCTTCCTGGTCAAAATTGATCATTATCGGTGTAATTATACAAGCAATCAATCATGTGTTGTGTTACATTACAAGCAATAAAAATCAGTAATATGTCGAATCAGTCTTAAGTTTTATAATTGAATTTCGAAACTTCTGAGCCATTATTCACAAAAGTAACTGTTATAACAGGTGATAAAAATAAATCCCAATAACAACCGCATCGCCAAAAAAATTCTTAAATACATGGCAAAAATTCTAATAATATCATTGACTAACTAGAATTGGATGATAATGTTTCATTTATAATCCTCACCCATATGCCAGCATGTTCGATATTACCGTATTAGTATCAGATTTGAAAATCCTCATTGCAAATGGTTAATAATCCAACCAAATACCCAAATATCTATCGCTAAATGTCCAAAACGGAATTTTCTCATTAGAGTTTGAGGTATAATTTCGCTATTTTTACTCTAAGAACATCTTCATATTCTTCTTGAAGTGACCCATCAGATTCCAATTTTAAAACCCATGCGGTCTTCACTTCTATAACTATTATCATATTTTTTGTAGATGAAAACTGATTCCCTCTTTACTTAATCCCCTTTTGAAATCTGCTTGAAATTTTCTCTTAATTCGCGTATGTCGTTATTTGAATTTAAGATACGAAAATTTTTAAGCAACCAAATATGATTTTGTCAATTATTTTAACTAATGAGCGACCTAAATTATCATTTGATTTATTTCCAAAATATGGAAAATAGCGGGTAGATTAGGCACGAATCGTTTTTAGAATCTTTAAACAGTTGGTTTCGGTCAACGTTGGCGGTAAATCACAAAAAGTTGTTTGATGTAAATTAAATTCTCACGTGAAGATGCGATTATTTATAAATTATTTATAATATTTTATTTATTATTTAACAAATCCTATAAAACTTTTAATTATAAATAACTCCTATTATGCATAAATTACTATTGTTGTTTGAATTATGTTGTATCAATTTCTAAAATTTGAAATATTTCGTAATCTTCAATTTTGAAACCTTCTGTATCTCTTATCTTTTTATCATATCTTTTTTGCCTGCAAATACCACGATTATAATCATAAATACACAAATCACAACTAAATGCGGGACCATATGTATAGTTATAATATAAAGCTTTCGCAATATGTTTTATATTCACATGGCTTAAAATTGAATCCTTTAAATTATCCTTATTCTTAAAAGAAAATATGAAACTATCCTTCGATTGACCACTTTCACCAACTAATACATAAGATTCTTTCCATATTGAAGGATTATATCCTCCTAGGATCTCTTCCGTTCCTTTTACTTTGATGAATGTAACTGTATAAGGTATATTATCACATAATTCATGAAATTTTTTAGGAGTCATTCCATCTCGGCTTCCTCTTAATAATAATTTAAATTTATATGGTAAATACAGTTCTCTTACATGAGCAAAGTTGTTTTTAATTTCTAACTTTTCAATCCATCTCGAAATTATGGAAACAATATTTAAATTAACAATTTTTGTATCAATGATTCCATCAAGATTTCTAAACCTAAGGAGTAAAATACCATCACTTGGTTTACTATTAGGATCTAAATGTGAATTTAATAAATCTTCATAAAGTTGATTTCTCAATAACCTTTTATATGGATGAACATTTTTGATGAATTCTTCAGAGGATAAACTGAAAAATCTTACAAAGGGTAAACAATTTTGCAAGGTATTTCCCACCATTTTGAAATCATCATCTGACCAAGTTACGGGATCCAGAATAAGAGTGGGATGTTTTTCAAGACCCCATTTTAATACATGTTTCCAAACTTCAACTTCTTTCATTTGTAAATCATCCCTTCTAATGAGTGAAATTAAAGATTTTTCAGGAAGCGAAGTAAAGTCAAGATTTGAATACCTTCTCAGGTGATTTAGCAATAATATCTGTACATAATTTTTGAAGTTCTAAAAAAGAGTTAGATTGAAAGCTTGTTCTATAAGCAAGCTCAAAATGTTGTTCCAACAATACATCTTTTTTTTAATTAAATATTTTTGTAAATATTCAACCAATTCTTGAAGATGAAGCTCATCAGCAGTACGCATCACATTTAAAATATTTGAAATGTCTTGTTCATCTAATGATATAATTCCGCCACAAATATACCTATATTAACAGAAAGGATAATTCTAATATATACTAACATTCAAAAGAAAGTAATATGCTTGATTAATCGACTTACTCCAAAATCATTTGAAAGTCTTCTGGTGAAATGTTTGGCAATTTAATGTTTGTTAGAGCCCCTTCATTTTTCTTTTTATTTGCCAAATTACGTCGGAAATATGGTGAACGGTAGCACAAAATATCCGGAATATTCTAACATTTGGGTCTTTTCCAACTTCAATTGTGATATCATAATATTCGTCGTCATCTAATATTTCGATATAATTTCGACTCAATTTGTGAAAAAATTGTGTTGACATTTATAAAAAATTTGATATTAAATTATTTAAATTGGGAAGAAATAGTTTTTTTTGTTATGATGATCGTATTTGTTTGTGTGCTTTTATAATTTTTTTGCGACAAAAACCCGATTTAGAATAGAATAGTTTCGCCGCAGCCACAGAATGTTTCCAAATTAGGCAGGTTTTTCATCGATCACTAAGATCACATTGTTATTTACTCGATTACATTTGTCCTTGCTGACCCAATTGTTATTGAGCAGCATTACTGCATTTGTTTTGTTGACAAGTGTTCTTCCATATACCAGGTTCATTTCTTCTAATCTATTAACTTTCTTCGTAGAATTTTTCTTTACATGTTTTTCATATCTTTCATCTAAAGGTTGATATAATTCGGTTTAAACGGTTCCAACATAAAACCGGGTCTAGTTTTTAGAGATTCAAAATCTGGTTTCAATAAAACCGGTTGATTGCGAAAATTCGAATTTAATTGTTAAACCCGTTAATTTAACATTTAAAAATAAATGTTGCGTCATTTAGTAGTTTTCCGGAGCGAAGCGGACTAAATTACTTTTATTATTTATCAATTAATACAATAAATAGTAAGTTATATTTTTTGATTTATCAATATTTAATTATACTTGTAACTGTAATTTAAGTCAACCAAATATTTTATTTAAAAAACAGTTAATAATTTTGATTGTAAATTATTTTTATTAACTATCAGTATTTAATTATAATTGTCACTATATACAGTTTATGTCATATAGATGTTGGTGTCAGGTGATTCTACTTTATATAGTGGAAGCTATGGCCGTTCCCCAAAAGGAAGGAATAAATAGCTTCATGCAGGAACTATGGGGGCCGTTTTTATTTATACGATATTGATATCAATATCAATATCAATTTCAATATCAATATCAATATTAATAGGAACAATGGTTGTTTATATATGATTTTTTAAAAAAAAAAATTTGGACTTAAATGATTACGATTACTAATAATTTTTTAAAATAATGAAAGAATTCGTCAAAAACATATACTGCATTAATGAAAACCCTATTTCATCCGATAATTTCAGCCTAAGGGATGAACTGATCTAACTTAAGAAAAAATACAAAAAATCATCAACAATCCAACCTAAAACTGCCTAAAACAAATAAATAAGATAAAATAAATAAAATTAGTAATCAAATAAATCAAAAAAATTAGTTAGTTTACCTTAGCTGCGGTGATAAACCAGATGGTTCCATTTGAAGGTTACGTTTGATTCTTAGTCTAAGTGATGGTAGAACTTAACCTAAAATATATAAGAATAAAAAATATATTTAAAAAAAATTATTTAATTAAAATTAGTCAGCTTACCTTTTCCACAATGATAAACTAGCCAGTTCCGTTCGAAGATTCTGTCTGATTTTAACCTAAAAAAAAAAGAAAATAAATATTAAAATAAATGTTAAAAAAAGAAAAAGAAAAAAACAACGACGACTTACCTTCACTACAATGACGAATCAGTCAGTTTTATTCAAAGGTTCTTAGCCAAAGTGGAGAACTAATCGAACCTAAATAGATAAAAAACAACAAATAAATAATAAAAGAAAAAGAAAAAAATTTGTGTCAGTTAACTTTGCCACGATGACAAATCAGACAGTTCTATTCAAAGGTTCCATCTCTAAGTGGAAGTAAATAATAAAAATAAAAAATTCGAATTGGCTTACTTTTGCAACAATGATGAAATGGATGCTAATTTTCTTGATCATTATAGGTAAAATTGGAAAGTTTAATTTCTTATTTTGCAATTTAACAAATATAATTATTATTTTAATATAAAATTAAATTTTATTTTTATTGTGCTATATACAATATTACAAATTAAAATATTTAGGGATATAAAAATATAATGACAAATTATTGAAATTTTCATATGTTTACACACCACTACATTTTGTGTAGATGTATAGAAAATAAAAAAACTTTATTAAATTTTGTAGATAACCTGATTTTCTATTGGTCATAATTACTTTTATTTTTAGACTTATTGCATAATGAATTGCAAAGATGCTTTTAGCACTAATATCTCATCTTTGAATAAATCTCCTGATGCACAGATTTATTTAATTCTTGTAAGAAACTAAATCTGAAATTATAAAAGCAATTCAATTAACAGATAACTGAAATTAAGATTTGTTAATTGTAAAGATGAATACTGCAATTAAAAAAAATAGCGCAATTGAGTTGCAACTTGTGACACAATTAAATTTTCTTATATCACAATTAAGTTGCAACTCAATTGAAATTTGAAAATAATTATGAAAACTAATTTTAGTTAATTAATTATTCTGATATAGCTTTTTATAATACTTTAAAAAAAAGGAATATGAGAAATAATCTTTTATTATTTGATATTTGTTTTTTATGATAATACAATTTTATTATTGAATTCAAAATTATGATAAAATTCTTTTCATACAGTAGTTCAAATCAAATAATGATCAACTTCACAAATTTCATCAGTTTGTTTTCATTGTTTATATAAAGCTATTTAGTTTAAATAAATTTATTAAATATTATTTATATTCTATAATATAGATTTATTCAAGATTAATAATTTAAGAATAAAATTATTAAAAATAAATGGATTTTTAAATTAAGACAATTATATAATATTGATAAAATACATCAAAAATTTTTATTTATTGTGATTTTCATTATAATAATATTTTGAATATTAGAAATAAAATTTTAATAATTAGTGATTAAGGATTATGTAAACCTGTAAATTATTTCAAAAAAAAATAATATTTATAATGTTTTACCATTTATAGCTTCTAAAATTTTAAGGGAATTGCATTATACTTTAGCTAATAATATATATATATATATATTTTTATGATTATGTGAGAATTAATATTAGGAATTTCTTATTTAATGATGAAACTCATAAATTTTTTCAACTAGATATTTGTAAAGGTAAACATTGAAGCTGTGATCCGTGACTGTGCTAAAATTAAGTTATGTGATCTAAATGATCGATATAGTTGACGAAGTTGATGAAGTTGACAGAGTTGCTAAAGTTGTCAACGTTGATCAAGTTAACATATTAGATAGATGAATTATATTTATTATATTTGGTAATTATATCATATTTATTATATATATTATATTTATCATAGTTATACATTTGTTCTCTTTGTTATATTTATTATAGTTGATTTTATATTATTTTATTTTATATAAATATCTTGTATTTTTCCTTGAGTTGAAAAGTAACTCAAGTTGAGGTTTTAGGATAAACCAAAAGTTCAATAAAGAAATCTTTAAATTCATTTACTATTACCTTTTGTCGTGTCTTCATATAGGCGTAATTGTGATATTGTCTTATATTTAATTTGACAAATTGAATTAAAAGTTTATTGTTTAAGTTTACAGATACCAAGCCAACAACATAAAATTATTGAAAATGTTTCACAATGTTATACAGATTTAATGAAAAATATTAGAATATTAATTCATTAAAAGGCTAATAGTATCAGAAATTGAAATTATTATTAATAATTAGATTAAAAATATTAGAAATTAAAGATTAAATAAAGAATTAAAAGATGATATTATAGATATTTATAAATTAGATAAAGTATTCAAACAAAATCAAAATAATAATTTAAGTATAATTATAGATTATCTATAAGTATTTTATACAAGTCATTTATTAATTTTACTAAAAAATTAAATAAAATTTTAGATAATAAAATTAAAAGATCAAATATTAGTAAAAGTATTTGTAATTATTATATTTATTATGAGATTTATAAATTTACAAATATACAATTTAATTAATCATTTTAATTTTAATTATAAATATTTTCAATTCTATAGAAGCTTTAACTATTATAAATAATAAAATAAGTAAGTAAATAAATATATATAAAAAAAAGAAAAAAGGTAAAATATACATATTTAATAATTTAATATTTATTTATTTTTAGATAATTGAAATTTATTTATAATATATTAAATATTTTTATATTTTATAATCTTTATAAATATTTATATAGAATAATTATTATATAAAACAGTTTGTAATTACATAAAATCATAATACAATATATAAAATTATGAATTACTAAGTTATTAAATCAATTTAAGATTAAAAATTAAAAATATATTATTATTTAATTAACATATAGTACTATAATAAAGGAAGATCTATCATAGTAAAAAATATTTAGTGTGATTTTATTATTATAAACTGGATTTCTAGAAATTCGTTATATTGTAAAATTAATTATATCAAAATTCATTGAATTAAGAGTTGACTGTATATTTTTATGTTAAAAAAAACAAAGGTTTTTTTGTATAAATATTTTTATCAAGATACTGAATGACTTTTTGTAAATCCTAGACTCCGGGTTTAGGTTAATATCCTAGACCTCATGTATAACTAATTTTAACATACGTATCACGTGATATATACAGGGTACTGTACATTTTAAGGACGCCCCTAAATTAATAATAGATTCTTTGTTTATGTATTTCTCAAATATGCTATGATAGAAATATCAATTTTTAGGATTAAAGTGATGCTGAGCAGGCCAATAAATCTGGAAGAAACCTCCATTTTTAGGACTTAAGTTCGATCCCGTTGCGAGAGAACGTGATCTATAAAAAAAAATCTATCGTCCATCTAATGGTGGATGAATCGACCCCTTTGCAAGTGGTCATATCTTCGGAAGAAATCTATCGATCCGTGAATCATAATGTAATCTATAGATCCCATCAAGTGGTATGATCCTCGGAAAAATCCATCGATCTCGTATCAAAACTACTTTAGTTGAATTTTGATTCCGTGATTAACTCTCTAATAAGAAATGAACTCGTTCTTTTGGTAAGTTCCTTCAAATTTTACATGTTTACAATCTTTCCAACATCAATCATATTTTTTACAGTTTGTATATTCCTTTGGAAAAGTTAATTGAGTATTGTAAAACAAAACTTTTTCTAATAAATTCCATTTTTCGATACCTTCCGAGTTTTCTGGCCGCGATATCAAAAGTGTTAAAATGAACTGTCTTTCGGTTATATCTTTTCAGTATGTTTCTTCAATTAAATATAAAAACTGCAAATCGGTTTTTTTTTTCATATGGAGTTTTACAAAAAAACTCGACCAAATTTTTCATTAAATATTACATTAATAATAATGAAATTCGGAGCTTCATGAATTTATGGTCAGAGTCCTATAAACCACTTACCTGGACCAGTATAGTTTATTTTGTATTTTTGTATCCTCCACGGACATTATTTTGTCTTGCTTGGGTACATTCACTGCTTTGGTAATTTATTATAAATACATACATTTTACTTAATTTCTATATTTTTTATTTTGTTTTTCTAATTTATTTTTTAACGTCCTACTTTTTTCTTCTTTCCGAATAGATCATTGATAAGGATTGAGTTGCTAACAGTCTCATATTATATAAATCCAAAAATTTTATCAAAGACACTATCACAGAAATTGAGCGTAACAGAGGTCTTTTTA